TCTTCTTCTTCTTCTTCTTCTTCTTCTTCTTCTTCTTCTTCTTCTTCCTTCTCCTCCTCCTTCTCCTTCACCTCCTCCTCTTTCCCCTCCTCCTCCTTCTCCTTCTTCTCTTTCTCTTCCTCCTCCTAATATTTACCCTCCTCCTCTTCTTTTTTTCTTTTGTTTGTTTGCTTGATTACTTGTTTTTTTTTTGAGATAGGGTTTCTTGTTTATGAAACCTGTTTGACCTGGAGCTCATCTGGAGACCAGCCTGACCTTGAATGCATAGAGTCCTGGCTGTCTCTCTCTCCCAAGTACAGGGATTAAAAACATGCACCAACATGCTATGCTTTGCCCATCTTCTCAAACCACAGGAATGTCAATACAGGATATGTCTATGTATTCAAATTGAATGTGGAAGGATTTGCAGTTCATTTATTAAATAACATGTTTCTTCTTTGAAATTTTTATACATTTTAGAATATTGATATCAGAATATTGATTTAGCGTATTGATGTTTACAGTGTGCCACAGATATTCTCCAACTATTAGATTCTCTTCTCACTGTAGAAATCATACCCACTTCTATTGTCATTAATAACCCATAAAACCAATAATTCCTGCTCAAATGTCCGTGTGTGTGTGTGTGTGTGTGTGTGTGTGTGTGTGTGTGTCTGTGTGCGCGCGCGTGTGTACTGGAGGAGGTGCATACTGCCAGCATCCAAGTCCTCTAGGAAACTGACCACTCCTTCCTATGGCTCTATCAACTACTAGTTCTCCATTTTTATCTCCATTTTCTATGTTGTTTCTTGAGTTAGTATTCCTTTATGGATGACCATATTTTGTTCTCTGCTTAGGGAAAATGTAATTCTTGTTGGGCTTTTCCTGTGACTGGTGCCATAGAAGCACAAATGTTCAAAAAAACTGGCAAACTGATCCCACTGAGTGTACAGAACCTAGTGGACTGTTCTAAACCTCAAGGCAATAGCGGCTGTAATGGAGGTACTACATACAATGCTTTCCAGTATGTTTTGCACAACGGAGGTTTGGAGGCAGAGGCAACCTACCCATATGAAGAAAAAGTAAGTGGACTTCCTAAGTTAACATTTCAGCTCAGCTTATAGTCAGTGACAATTGTAAAGATAATACACTATCTTCAGAGCTCAGATTACATGGTAGAATCTCTTTGTACACTAACAATGCTGTTGTCATGTATTGTTTGCATAAATTTTTGGTGTGATGATATCAGTATCAACTTTTTTCCTTTTGTGTACATGGAGAATATGTGAACAGTTGTACAGATAACTCAGAACTCTGTGGCACACAACAGTCTTATGATTAGGAACACCTATTGGTTATTATTGAAGATAAAAGAACTTTTGTTTAGCTTCAAATCATCTGGTAGCATTTTACTTCCTGGGATTATTTTTAAAACTTATTAGTTGACTGTGTTCATTTACAAAGTGCTGATTGCTGTGGTTCTGACTCTGGGTCCCAGGCAGTAGGTGGAAGAAACTGAGTTTCTACTTCTTTATCTTTTAAAGGAAGGACTATGCAGATACAATCCTAAGAATTCATTTGCTACAATCACAAGATTTGTGGCCCTTCCAGAAAATGAAGATGTCCTAATGGATGCTGTAGCAACTAAAGGGCCTGTAGCTGCTGGAATTAACGGTGTCTACAGTTCTTTACGGTTCTACAAAAATGGTTAGTATATTTTCTTCTAGATATGAAAGAAAACGCTCGTGATGTCCCTACACCATGACAAGTATATAGACCAGATGCTATGTAAAATATATTATGTGAATGTTTGAGTTTCTGGATTTTACTCATTCCCATGCAATATTTCACCTGATATGAACCTCCACATGGTAAAATTTACTGGTTAACTAAGATTTCACCTTTTCTCACTTTGGTGGATGTTTTACAGATTTACAAAGACAGATTTATGTTCTATAAGTTTAACTTGGCATGAGATGCCAGTAATACAAACATAGAATATCCAGATGTCATCTCATATGATTTTAGATCATCTTTATCAGCAAATCTGACTACTTTGAATTACTTCAATTTTCTGTAACCATATATGTGTGTATGAAATATGTATGTACATATACAAACATATACCAATATGTGTGTGTATGTAATATGTATGTACATATACAAACATATATCAATATGTATGTATGTAATATGTATGTACATATACAAACATATATCAATGTGTGTGTGTGTGTGTGTGTGTGTGTGTGTGTATACACATTTGTATATACGCACATACTGGTATAGATGGGATCAATTCATGAAGCTCATTATTCCATTGTGGTTTACATAATTTCAGAGATCTTTGAAAATGTTGCCCTGTTGTTGGTGGAAATGCTCATTGTCATCTATTCTTTGCATCTCATGTCAGGTTCCATTTTATTTCTCAGGTATTTATTATGAGCCAAGGTGCAAACGTCTTGTGAGTCATGCAGTTCTGGTGATTGGCTATGGATTTGAGGGAAATGAAACAGATGACAAACACTACTGGCTGATTAAGAACAGGTATAAACTGACAACATTTTTCTGTATTTAAAATTCCAGGGGCAAGAAAGATGGTTTAGTGGTTAAGGGCCTCGATACAATAGCAAGGAATTCATGAAGAAATTGAATATTGCAGTCAGTATTTGATACACAGACTAGAAAATTTTGACCCATTTAAGTTGAACAATGTTTATTCTTGTTTTTTCATGTACAGATGTGAGGTCTGTTCGCCTATGTGCATGTCTGTGTGCATGTGTTTGAGTGCAAGTGTACCTATGCAGAGGTCTGTTTTTAACATCAGTTGTTTCTCAGTCATTATACAACTTTCATATTGAGGCAATGTTTCTGACTGACCTAGGGATTGTTATTTACTCTAGCTAGCCAGCTTGCTACATGTATACCCTGTGTCCATGTCGCCAAAAATGTTTATTACATGCACAGTACAATGTGAAACTGGCTTTTAAACAGCCCTTGGAGTTGATCTCTACTCATTAAACTCTAAGCTACCCTATAAAACTCTAAGAACTTACTACCAATATACTATTGTGAAATTTCCATTCTTACTCTGGTTTCTAGAATATCAGTGTTATGTCAGTGCCATTACTTTTGTCATACATAAAACATGTTTTCAGTTCTCATGCGTGTATAGGTAGAAATTCCCATTCTCTGCTGTAGTTTTCACATTCTGTTTGAGGCACTCCTTGATATTCAGGAGTAGATCTTTTGCTTTCCCTAATACTGATGTTATATTGGCCTCTTGCCAATTATTATAATATGTCTATCGTGTGTTATTATTTCTACTAAATGGAAAATATGGTTTCTTTCAGCTGGGGTAAACAATGGGGATTGGGCGGATATATGAAGATTGCGAAAGACAGGAACAACCACTGTGGAATTGCTACATTTGCCCAGTATCCTATAGTGTGAGCAGCCTAATGGTCTCAAGGAAGCATGTGGCATGAGACTCATTTCCATTTCCAGAGGAGTGTCATCCACTCCAATGAATGGCCTTTGATGAATATGTCAAACTCTTGAATCCCATGAAATCATCATTGTAATGTAAATTCTGGGAGCTTTCAAATATTTCACATGACCACTGTAATTTTTCCTTTCATTAATGTATGCTTATGTCTCCTAAAATAACTATTTTCAGTTTTAATGCTTGTGCAAATAAAATAATTCAAAAAATTTAAGTAAAATTTCTAGCTGTTATGCCATTTGTGCAGTTAATTTTGTAAAAAGAAGTGCAATTCATCTTGAAGTTGGGATTGAGTGTTCGTCTGGTATTCAGAAAAAAGTGTGGGTAGATATTCTGTTGTGGACTTTACACTTCATTAGCTGTTGTTTGATTGCAAAGTTCTGTCTGTCCACCATAAACCCTTCTCTCAAAGACTGTATGATAATTTCTGAATTGGAGATGTGGTTTTTAGCTAACACAAATACACCCAGTATCAACTCGTGGCCCCTCTGTACAATGTGAGGTCACCATGTGCTATTGCTTTTTGTTGGGCTATAGCTCGCCCTTCTCCATGACTTCAACCATGTATTAGGTTCCAACAAACACAGCAATCCTACCATAGTAGGCTCTGCTAAATGCATCAGAGCAGAAGTGGAGACAAAGACTTTAAAATGCTTCTATACATGATATAGAGCTCTTTATAGGAAAAATGAAGGAATTAATGAAGACAGAAAAAGCAAAGGAAATGAATAATGTAATTCAACACCTAAAAGTAGAAATAAAACTGATGAAGATTTCTCAAACTAAAGGAAATCTGGAAATGAAAACTTTAGGTATTTGAACATGAACCTCAAGGAAAATCTCACCAATAAAAGATAAAGGAAAGAAGAAAAACTTTTTTAATAAATTATTTTATTTGCTTATATTTCAAAAGTTTCCTTCACCCATGCCAGTAGCCCTTCCCTGAGTTCTTCACCCCATCCTCCATTCCCCTGCCTATTAGAGTGTGCTCCCCCACACCTCACCTCTAACATCATCCCTATTTCCTGGGGCTTCAAATTTCCATGTGTTTAAGAGTGTCCTCTTCTATATCCTATAAACTTAAAATATATTTAAATCATGTTCTTTTCATTTTTTATTTTA